CCCTCCCCCCCCCCCCTTCACCTTTATTGGTATTACTTGTTTTTATGGCTCTTACATGTGTAGCAGAAAGATGCCTAGCCCATTAATACCTAATCTCTGTTTAAAACGGCATTGTAAACACATTAGATCGTTTTCAGAAAGTAGTTTGTGTAAAAGACGTTTTAATAACACGTATTAATATGCAGATGGTTATCGGATTAGAACATGTTCAACCCTTTCACTGCCAGAGCTGTTTTGCGTTTTTTGCATAGGTTATAATTCACATTTTAGGACTGAAAATTACTTAAAACCCCTGAGAGTTATATATTTCCTGAAAGCAGAGACCTTGTAGAATACAATGCTGGCAAATGCATAATAATAGCACAATGTTTTATCAAACCCAACATTTCAGTAAAAAATACACTTAAAGGAGAACTATGAGGTGAGTGCTTTTCACTCACCTCATTGTTCTAGCCGACCTGTGACAATGAGACTGTCACAGGTCGGCTCAGTAGATCGGGAGGTGAGCGAACACATACCGGGTTCGCTCACCTCTCGATCCTGTCACGGCTCTCTGCCGTGGCAGGGGAGGGGCTGGATTCCCCTCTCCCCGCTCCGATCCGCCAGCGCTGACTGGCGGAACGGACGGGGGAGGGGGCGGGTACAGCTGGCTCTACCTCTAGATAGGCAGAGCCAGCTGTCACTCACACAGCTGGGTGGACCTCGACATCGATGTCGGGATCCGCTCCGGCTGCGGCGTCTCAGTATACCTCGAGCTGTAGCTCGCGGTATACTGAGCCTAGGGTGATGGGAGGACGCTAGTTTGTGTCCTCCCGTTACCCTAAGGAGAACTATGGGGAAAAGTCCTGACCCCATAGTTCTCCTTTAAGTGGATTGTAGTACACAAAAACACAGTAAGAAATTGTGCTTCACGAGCCCCCTATGTGACAGCACATTCGAGGTGACAGGTGCTCTTTAAGGTGACATTAGGGGTCTATTAGACACCCAATGTCACCTTTGCACTTCAAATAAGCTGGACAAGCACCGATCGTGCTTAATCAGCTTCCTCCCCAGGTTCTGTAGCCGGGGAATGACAGC